AAAAATGCTGCGGTGCCGGCTCAGCCTTGACCCAACAACAGCACCAGAGTTAACTTCTCCACCACCTGTCTCCTCTCTCCCTGGTATGATCAGGGTAAGTATTCAGATGATTTGATTTTAAAATAAATATTCTCCACTGAGTAAAATCTTCATCTTAAAAGTAACTGGTTACTAAAGTAGTCAACATACAAAAAAAAGCAAAAATACTGTACATCTCTTGTAAAGAGTGGCTTGTCCAATTATCATGGCAAAGATATGACATAAATATATTACTGTGGTGCAAAAAGGCAAAATTGACATTATAAAAAAAAACATATTGTAATAATTATTGATCTTGTTTTATTGGCCAGTTTAAGACACCCGCCTGCTATGGAAGACTCCGATGTGCTGGCTCTATTCTTACCATTAGGTTGTTCTATGCCGGCCTGGATGAGATACTGTTTGGCCATCTCTGCATCTCCCATCTCCAGAGTGGCTACTCCTGCCCTGTACAGTGCTTTGACATTGCCTGGTCGCCACTGCAGCACCCGTAGGCTGTACTCCTGCACACGAGCAAAGTCAACACTCTCTCTCTGCAGCAAACAAGCTGAAAAAGATAGATACATACATACAAGTATATCAAATATAAGACTATATAAATATGAGATAGATTATGTCAAATAAGAGTATTTGCATTTGAGTTGGATATTCTAGGGCTCTTTCCACTTTGCAAGTTGTTAAATTTTATGTACCAGCTAAGTTGTTGTAGCAGTCCACTTGTGTGTTCCTCAGTAATGCCTCCTCTTCTGGTGTGAGAGCAGGTGTCTTGGGTCCAAAATCTTTCACACGTGCCATCACGTCAGAGTCGAGGCCTCGAAGGATCAGGAGAGCGCGGTGATAACGGCCAATGGCTGAGCGAATGTTCTTGTCTCTGTAGAATGCATTTCCTTCTGTTTTCATCTGGGCAGCTTCCTCTAGCAAAGACCAAGCCGGCTTTGTCGAAGTCTGCCGGTGTCCAGAGACGCCTGGTCCCTCTGCTGCTGCTGCTGCCGCCCCCTGCACCTCTGGACCCTCCTTCTCGGCTGCCTTCATTTCTGCAGTGGAGCTCATTAGCTGGTAAAATAAGAAACTTGATGTAAATGTGTTTGGACACCATTGAAAACTTTACGTACAGATATATTTTCAAGCTCCTGTTACATGCTCTGGCTGTACTGTACATTTAGAGATGCCCTCCGCTGATATAAAATATTGAAATCAATTGGATTGACACAAAAAAAATGGTTGCATGTCATGTTGGATTTAATACTAATACAATTACTAGCTTAAGTGTGCACAGCCACATTACCACTGATGACATGCATGCAATGAGGACGTTATAGAGAAATGTATGCACTTTACCTGATAATTAAAAAAAGATGAATAATGTATGCAGCACATAATTCATGCTATTTTCTCTCCATCTCATGTATAAAAGGTACTTTTAACAATATAAACTCCAGATCTAATTATTATAGAGACTTCACCCACCTCACTGAAGTTGATAATCCTGATTTGTGTTAAATATCAGTATCCGCGTTAGTTTCTAAGGTTACGCTGCAGGCTATTGTAGAACACGTTGTAATTAGCATTAGCAACATTTTAACGAACTTAGCCGCACGTTCGGTACACGAGACCGTTGACGGATTGAAGCTACCCGAGCTAATTGTTACCGAGGCTAACACGAGCGAACTTCCCTTTAGTTAGTTCGACACATTCTACCGGCTCAGTACATTCAAATGTCTGTTGTGCATCAACCAACCTTACACGTGGAAGACAATCGACCATCAGCGGACATTCACTTTCCTCTGTTGACAACCATCCTGCTGCTGCTGCCGCTCACTTCCTTGTTTTTCTGACGTCAACGACGTGCCGCGTTACTGCCACCGCAAGGCCGGACATGGAACTACAGCTGCAGGTGCACGACAGATGTTAATGTGAGGTGAATCAAATGTTTCACAAGTATTGATCAGATTTTGTTTCAGTCACCGTCTGATTTTCAACAGTTCTCCTTTTATTTATTCAATATTCAATTAAATCTAGCCGTTAGAATGTGTCGACGTCCAAACTAAAGGAAGGTTGGCTCGTGTTTAATATTCATATATTTCATATTCTTGATTTTGTGTTGTTTTTTTATTTTACGCCCAAAGATTATTTAGGAAAATGTATGAATAAAGACATTTTAAATGTTCGTTTTCTGGTAGTTAGTTAATTATCATAACGTTTTTAGCATATATTAAAATCTACTAAAATTCAATCTGAGGCTATTGTGATGGGTGAATCATTACAGATTCAAACTGAGGAAATGTTTGATTAAATCACTGATATTAAATTAAATCCGAATTTTAATTCAATAAAAAAACAAGCCAATGTATTATTATCATCATTACATTGCTGCTGTTATAATGATGTCAGATTTGCTGATGTGTTCAGCCATTCTGGACTTCTGTCCATCCTGGGAGTGGGATCCCTCCCATGTCTCTGAGGTTTTCTTCCCCCGTTAATAGTTAATTCGTTTTTTTGTGGTAATTTTCTCTTACTCTTGTTGAGGGTTAAGGACATCTTGTCGCACCTTGTTAGGCTATATGAGACAAATTGTGATTTGTGAATATGGGCTATAAAATTTGATTGGTTTATTGAAGTTTTTGCCAACTGCACTGAGAAGTCCAGCTTTATGATGAGTTTTAAATGGTGCTGGTTGCACATATCATCACATAACTCAACATAATGTTGACCCAACACAACATAAAATAGCATAACACAACATAACATAATGTCGACTCAACACAACATCACATAATGTCGACTCAACATAACACAACATAACACAACATAATATAATGTCGACTCAACACAACATAAAATAACATAACACAACATAACATCATTTTGTCTCAACACAACATAACATAATATATCTCCCCTCTCTCCAAACAAATAAAGTTAAGAAGTTATACATAATTGATAACTTGGTTTTTAATAACTGAATCGATCTGCGTGCATATTTAAAGTTGCTTCTTGTCAGTGTGTGTGTGTGTGTGTGTGTGTGTGTGTGTGTGTGTGTGTG